CGTGCAGCCAGCAGTAACAGCCTGGTTGATCAGGCTCTGATCCACCAGGAGGCCTGGTCACAGACCGGGCCGCGGGGGCGTTGACCCCCGGAACTCTCTCCAGGTAAACTCCAGGTAATAAATGTAATTCTCACACAGGTGTCTCTTGTTTGGGCAAACCCAGAAACATTTTTCTGATTTAATATTATTAGTGGTGGACTGCTGTATATCTACACATGTCTCAAGAGTCCATTTTTTCACAGAGGTTGCATGCAACCCAAGCAAAACTTTACTTGGTACTACTGTTGCAACTTACACAAGTTTTCATTATAGCAGTTTTCACTGTTGAATATATAAATACATATAATTTTATAGATTATTGTTTAGTGTCTTCAAAAAAGTGCTGGACAGGCCAGGCTGTACTTTGTACATTGGCAGTAACAGCCTAGTTGATCAGGCCCTGATCCACTGAGAGGCCTGGTCATGGACTTGGCCATGGGGGGCATTGATCCCAAAACCCCTCTCTAGGTATACTCCAGGCATACATTAACAATACGAAGTTCAATGAAAAAAAAATTCCAATTACTTCATGGAAAACTTGAGGAAATTAGAACTGTATCAGAGTATAAAATAAATTCCAACCACACAATAGAGCAGAAAACTAATGTGAAGGACCTGGAGTGATAATGTCACAGTATCTCGCCTTCAAAGACCACAACAACGTATTTACCACATCTGCTAGTAAAGTGATAAGATGGATAATGAGAACCTTCAAAACTAGGGATGCCAAGCCCATGATGATTCTCTTCAAATCGCTTATTCTCTCTAGGCTGGAATACTGCAGTACACTAACAAGCCCCTTTCAAGGCAGGTGAAATTGCTGACCTGGAGAATATACTACTGAGAACCTTTATTGCACGTATAAGTAACATAAAGCACCTATATTACTGGGAGTGGTTGAAGGCCCTCAACCTATACTCCTTGGAATGCAGGCAGAAAGATACATGATAACATACACTTGGAAAATCCTAGAGGGACTAGTCCCAAATCTACATACTGAAATCACTTCCTGTGAAAGAAAAAGACTCAACAGGTGGTACAACGTACCTCAGTGAAACGCAGTGGTGCTGTGTGCTAAGAGACAACACAATAAGTGTCAGGGGCCCACGACTGTTCAACTGCCTCCAATTATACATATGGGGGATTACCAATAGACCCCTGGGTATTTTTAAGAGGGAACTGGACAGACACCTGAAGTCAGTACATGACCAGCTGGGCTATGGTTCGTATGTCTGTCAGAAGGTGGCCAGCAGTAACAGCCTGTCTATCAGGCCCTGATCCACCATGAGGCCTGGTCACAGACCAGGCCGTGGGGGCGTTGACCCTCGGAGTGCCCTCCAGGTATCAAAACCCTTCATCCTCATTGAAAGACAAAGTCAGAGAAATACGGTGGACCACCGACTTACGATGGCATCAACCTACGATAAAACCGACTTACGATGCTTGTCAGCGTAAAAATTTGACCCCGACCTACGCTGAAAACTCGACTTACATCATTCATCTCAAACATGGCCGTCTGGATTGAGCGCCTCAGCTGAGCTAGTGTGACAATGTTTACAAGCCAGGGCAGATGGTTGCACGCATTATTCCAGTGTTTTTAGTGCTTGTAACTGCTAAATAAGCCACCATGGGCACAAAGAAAGCTTCTAGTGCCAACCCTATGGTAAAAAGGGTGAGAAATACTATTGTACCACGGTCAGCTATACAACTCGAAGATGTGGAGAGACTGTTGTTAGTGTGGCTTATCGAGAATACCGAGAAACAATTAACCCCAGAGGGTTGGCCACCCGGGATAACCCAAAAACGTCAGTGTGTCATCAAGGACTGTCTAATTTATTTTCATTGGGGTCCTTAATCTTGTCCCCCAGGATGCGACCCACATGGATTAATTTGATTTCCATTATTTCTTATGGGGAAAATTAATTCGACGTATGATAATTTCATCTTACGCTGTGCTCTCTGGAACGGATTAATATCGTAAGTCGGGGGTCCACTGTATATTTCTAATATTACAGTGCTCTCTTGGGCTACAGTACTAACTCAAACCCTCCCTAAAATACATGGTTGTATGGTAATTATTTCCAAGAACCCAGAAGTGCAACCTTTACTAAATCTTGGACTTGCAGGCTCTGTATTATTTTTATCTGATTCTCTTATCCACCATAACAAGTCTATTCATCTCTATGATCCCTTCTCTGCCTTTTTTCACTAACCTAGATTCATCAACCACTTTAATATTCTTTATAATTTTTACTTGATAATAGTTGAAATGGTTGATTGTGGAATATCATACTCAAGCACCAATACATTAATTCTAACTTCATCATATTTTTCACAATTTCTTGCTTGATCTTCAGAGAAATTGCCTGTTTACTGTGCATTTTAGAGGCCATGATGACTTGGTAACACAAAAGATGGCAAGATTAAATCACAAATAGTTATGAGGGGTAAATAATTCAGATATAGTGCAGGCAACTCACATGGTAACTTCAAACTGAAGAGGAAATGATAAACTCTAGTGAAAATGCTGCTATTGGCCAAGATGCTACCATAAAGACATTCATTCCTATTGCTGATTAGCTGCTAAGCCACAACTACACCCCTTACTAATGCTCCTATTGGCTCAGATGCTGCCCAAGAGGCAAGGTATTGCATCACTGGTTGGCCGAGGTCCTCTTATGCACGCCAACCACTATGTCGTACATATATCAAATTTTTCATCGCAACTCAAAACTGAATTCCCTTATGAGGGTAAATCGTAACTCAAAATTATCTTAACTCAAGGGACCACTGTATTATAATTACATTCATGGGAGGGGGGGGAACCACATAAGGGTAATACTTTGCCTAAGGCATTGGGGGCAATCAAGTTCCATCTAAGGAAGGGAAAGTAAAATGCAATTCCTTGTATTAAGAGCTCCTCACTGCCATTAAAAAAACTTACTTTGAGGGAACAGATATTAATAAAAAATTTAGACAATGGGTATTTTGGCAATCCTATAAAGAAGGAATGTTTGACTCCAGATACAACATTATTAACTACAAAACAATGAAGATCCCCTGAAATAAATGTAGTCCCTGATAAATGGCAACTAGTCCACTAAAAGTCTTGTGGAAACATGAACATAATCCTCATAATCTAGTTTGGATATGACAGTACATAATGCAGACGAAGAGAAAACTGTTGAATGGCTTGCATTTTTATAACAATGAATAACTGAACCCTCTCAAGAGAGGGTTCAACGAATCTATCCTCTCCTTTCTTGTATCGAACCTGATAGCCTCTCATTCCTCATGCACTACATGATCGCTATAGGTTTAGCGTATCCACTGATTATAATGATGATGATAATTGATGAAGCTGAGGAACTTATCAGTGTGGGAAATCATCATACTAACTCTATGCAGGAACAGTGAAGAATGATAAAGCACCATGTGAAAATCAAAGAACTCCTTTCTTGATACAGAACCTGAAGTCGTATGATGTGGTCCAGCCAGCAGGTGAGTTAATCACCAGTTGACTATGCATGAAAGTATTGATGAAATTGTTTAAAGTAAAAACAAACCTCAAGAAGAACTGAGGTGAGTTAACTACATAATTGCAATAATGCACCAATTATTGTAGTCTACAAATTCACTGGTGATCACTAAGCCTCCCATTCCCCAGTGCCTGAGTATGGCAGGTAATTTCTCCTAGGGAGGTACCATGATGCCAGTGAAGAGCTGTCTATCCAAGGAACTGGACTTGTACTCTCCTTCCTTGAATCTAACCTGATTGCCTTCCATTTCCCAGGTGCTACAGGGAAGAGTAGCTTTAATTCCTTACATCACCCACCTTTCACACCGGAGAGTGCTAAGCTTGTGAAGGTTTTACAGTACAGTGGAACCCCGGATTTTGGTTGTAATCTGTTCCAGAAGGTCGGCCTAAATCCGAGAAGGCCGAAAACCAAAGTAATATCTCCCATAAGAATTAATGTAAATACAATTAATCTGTTCCAGACACCCAAAAATATTAACAAATACATTTTTTAAAGATTAACTATAGTTTTACATACAGAAATCAATGAGAAATAAATATAAAGCACAAACTTTAATGATATATGAACATTACATACCTTTACTGAAAAGACTTGTTGGCGTATTGAAGGCGAGGAGGGGAGAGGGAGCTGGGGTTGTGTGGAAGGGGAATCCCCCTCCATAAGGACTTCGGGTATCAAGTCCCTGTCCGGGGTTACTTCCCTTCTTTGTCTTTTACTGGCACTAGGACCAGCTTGAGAGTCACTGTACCCCTGTCGCACAAAAAAAATGTTCAGAGAGGTCTGTTTCTGCAGTCTCTAAGATTTGCCAGAAGTGGGACAAGGTTTTGTCACTGAATTCTATTGTGTTTCTCACTTTCTTTACCAAAGGGCCGGCACTAGGAACTTTCTTTGGGCCCATGGTGGCTTTTTGCAGTCGCATTCAATAAATAACCACAAAAAAAATGGATTATAACGAAATGTTTGGATGAATGTGCAAAGTGTTGCTCACTCACCGAGAGAGACAGCCAGACTGGCTCACACATGTGGCAGAGTGGCGGCAGATGCTTCCAATTTGGCCAATTTTCAAGTTGCCGGCCAAAATCCAGGATAGAATTTCAGCCAAAAAAGCAGCAGAAATCCGATTTGGCCGATATCCAATGGTCCACTGTACGTGGAGAATTGGACACTCAGTTTTCATCCATTACATTGCTCTAATTCGTTAGATCAAGACCCCTTATCAGCATCAAAGCATCCACTTAAGAGGGATAAAGTCAAGATAAATACTATGAAATCCAACAGATTTTCAAATTATTAAGAGTCGACTGATAAAATACTAGCTGACTTGTTATTGTTAATATTGAAACAATTGTATAAACAAGCTTTACCTAAATTGTATTAAATTAGTTAAATGCTGGACTATGATTTTTAAATAAAAACAACTAATTTTATTTAATTTTTATTGGTTTTATTTTTCTTGTAAACCACGAGACAAAACTGGGAAAAAAGGCACTGTCGCAAATGACCAGAGTCTCGGTTCTTATTCTCACCAATACTCTCTCTATAACATTATCAAAAGTTCAGTGACAATTACTGTGACACAATACAAACATGCAGGTGAGAATCAATCTTTGCTGCTCCACAGATGACATGTCTCAGCCTCTTGTAAGTGAAGAAACAATGTCCTGTATTCCTCCAAGTAGGCTACAACAAACTTCAGATATTAATCTCATATTTTATATACATACAAACAAGTTAACAAGATATATAAAACAAAAATCTAGTTCACCTAAGTAAAAGTTTTAGAGGTTTTGATGATAATGGTTAAACAGGACTAGACTGGGATGGGTTTAACTAAGCCAGGATTGTCTGGCTTGAATTGAAGAAGCATGAGGGATATGCTAGACTACAACAGGCTCTTCAACTGGACTTATATTTTGGGGCAAATTACAAAGCTTAGAATGTTTTTTGTCATTTATGGTTAGATTAAGATATATAAGACTCTTCAAAAGCATGTAGTAAAGTCTAGGCAGCATATGACATTTAAGACTACAAAATGATCTAGAAAAATGTAATACATAACAAAAATATGTTTACCCAAAAAAAGGACAAAATTAAACGGGTGGAAAGCAAACAGTTAAATTAAGTTTAAATAAAAAATAGAGTAACTCACTCACATTTTCTGATATTATTTTAGTCTGAATTTGTTACAGTTTAGGTGAACACTATCTTATATACAGGCTGAAATAGTTAACTAGTATTATGTGTATCCAAGTGTAAAAATAACTATGAAATGCTTCTTTCACTTACAATTACATAATGCAATAAGAACATTCTTAAGTGGTTCAAATATTACTCTAATCACAAGGAGTCTCAAGAGTGAATTGACCTGCAGCATATTCAGGGCTCTTGTGCGTTTAAACTGGACTTCATAACTGAAAGCTTTCTGCATAAAAACTCAGCATATTATTTAAGAAAAAAATACTAAAAGGACAAAGTGATCCTTTGTGTATATAAATATATACAATATACATATATAGGATAATGGTTATGTCAGTTGCCCTCAGTTTAATACTCTACAGCCTGCACATAAGTGTATCCAGCAACACTCCTCACTTCCATTCCAAAACCTTACAAAAACTAATGCATTCCTGTCACAGATGCATGTGAACACCATTCCATTTTCCTTTATCATATTATTCCACTAAAGGCTAACATTCCAGACCACTCAGCATAACCATATAAATCTTCTGAATTATTAGAAAGAGGTTGGCAACTCTTATAACTAGTAAAATCAAGGCCAAGCACAACTATCAATGGTTTACACGTTATGTATTTGGCGTAGATTCCTTCTCAATAGTTACTAATGTGGCAGTTGCCACCTCAGAGTTGGTACCAGATGAGCTACTGGACGAACTAACTGGCACAGCCAGCGGAGTAGATGGAAGTTCTAAGGATTCTGGAGGTAGAGCAATAGTTACAGTCTTGCCAGATTTAGGAGGAAGTGGGGTGGTGTGTGTTGGAGGGTGGGAAGAGGGCAGCGGGGACTGAGTCCTTGACCCAGGGGAATCATCTAGTGTTGGCCAAGCTCCCCCACCCTCGCCTCCAGATTTGTCTTGGTTTAGGCGAGCACTTAGAAGACGGAGCGCCTTTTGTCTGTGGATAAAATTTAGAGCAAAAGATAATTCATTGTATATGGGCTGATATGTATATTCACCATAGCATCACAACAAAAGTAAATAAATAGAAAAAGTGTAAATAAATACAAGTGACATCATTAACATCACTTTCTGAGTGAGTTGTTTCTAAATTCATTAATCTGATCACACTCCAGTACATAATGACGCAGGGTGTGACAATAGTCCATCTGGCAAAGTTAACATTTCGTTTGGTCTACATCTGGTGGTGGTGATTTAACCTGCCAAAGATCCTTGTAACCCAGCCGGAGCCGGGCGGTAGTGACATCCAAGAGTCTGCTTATCTTGTTGGATGCACCATAGACATGTGGCTCCTCCTGCATGATGGAATGATGATAGATGGACTGACTTGTGTCAATCTTCCTAAGTCTTAAGTCAATAAAGTTCATTTGAAGTTCTTTTCGTATTATTGTTCTCAAACTGCTAACTGACAACCCAAGATTGTAATCTACCCCCTCTTTGAAAGCATACAGCTTAGCCAATTTTTCAGTTCTATCATGCATCTGAAGACCAATGTGAGATGGAATCCACAGCATGTGCACTCTGACTCCACCGTCCACAATCTTACCATACCTGTGTCTGGCTTCTGACACAAGCATGCCACAGTTTATACTTAATGAGTTGAGAGCATTTATGGATGACAGAGAATCAGTTACAATTAAAGTGTCAACCTTAGATACATGGACGCATTTGAGTGCAAGGAGTATGGCAAACAGTTCTGTTTGAAGGGTAGAGGCCCAGTTATTGATGCGTGCTCCAATTTCTTTATGAGAGCCATCACTCTGTGTGACAACAGCAGCACTACCAGCTGCACCAGTGGACTGGTGAACAGAACCATCAACGTAAATAATTTGTGAAAGAGTGTTCTGTGTGACTAAGTTATCAATACAGCTTAAGGCATCATGTTTAGCTTCAAGACGAAGCTTTGGTTGTGATTTAAGAAGAGTTTTGGGGGGAAATGGAGGAATGGTAGTTTGGAATGGGGTAATATCCCATGGAGCAGGGAAATGTCTCTGTTGCCTAACTTAACAGAGATCATGTAGATGGTTCATGCGGAGGTCGGTTCCAGTTTTTTCGATCCATCTGGAAGGATGTTCACCAGTGCTGAGGAAAGTTTGGAGGGCTTCTGTGCAGGGGTTTGAATGGGCAAACCTAAGCATATTGACCCTCAATAAGGATATTTCTTTCAGTAACACGATCTCTAATGCTTGGAATATTAAGTTCTTTCCGCATATTTAAAATTTTGGCAGTACGAGGGCATCCTAGGATGATCCTCATTGCTTCGTTTTGCAGTTTTTCTAGCCCTCCAAGCTTCCAGTCAGACAGGAATGCAAGTAGTGGCGCTGCATAATCAACCAATGATCTAATATAAGCAAGATATATCATTTTCACAATTTTAACATTAGCACCATACCTGGGATGAAAACCTGCCACAACTCTAGTGCTCTCAGCCTTTCTTTGTATTGGCAACAGTCTCGTTACAACAGGTCAAGTAGTGGAACCTCAAAGCCTAGATACCTGTATCTGCTTACATATTCTAGAAGAGACCCATCATGCAACTGGATCTGACGAACTGTGCCTCTCTGCCGAGGAGAACGCCTGTTGAGTATCTTTGTTTTATCCCCTGAGATTATTAACCCCAGGTCCTGACAAGAGGCTAGTACATGATTAAGAATGTTTTGGGTGTTGGAGAATCCGGTGGTGCGAATCATTATATCATCAGCAAAACTAACCATATAATGATGGGGCTGGCTAGGCATAGCATTAAGTAAGGCATTAATCAGAGTATTGAAAAGGTTGGGACTAAGCACACCTCCCTGTGGGGTTCCTAATTCAAAGTCTTTAGTTACACTTCTATGTCCCTGGAACAACACAGACAACTTGCTGTTGGACAGGTAGCCTTTAATCCTGCGGAGAAGCCATCCTCCAACATCCATTCTGGCAAGTTCACTAATGATTACATCACTAATGGCTACATCAAAAGCGGATTTAAGGTCAAGGAAAGTAGTGTATGAGCTGTCAGTGTGCAGAGTGAGAAAGGTGGTAATGCAATGATGCACACTCCTTCCATGCATGAAGCCATGCAACCGGGGAGACAAGAATTGCTTAATTCTGTGCATAAGACTTAATTCTTTAGAACTCCATTTTTTCTATTGATTGAGTACAAGAAACTGCCCATTTACCGATTTCAACTACCCAATAACGTGGTCAGAAATTTGCAATTTGGCCAATTTCACGAAAATTAAAAAATATGACAATTTCAAAATAAGGTCCAGAATGAACAATGCAGACATTCGTGGCTCTAAAATAACATATTCTTTGTTCATCAGTCAAGTCTCCAAGCCCCTCTGATATTACTCTTGATTTCTATTTTGAATTTTTTTTTCAAACAAAAAAAAAAGATGATTTACTGTTATGCAGACTACTGCAATACTGTAATAATTGTATAAATAACATCAACCCATTCATGACTGCATATTAGAATGGCTAGTTGGACATTTATTGGACAATGACATCATTTGTTTACTTTTGAACATCGGCAAAAATCAAACATTTCCCCTACTTTCAGTTCCATTTCCAGATTCTTTTTATAGTAAAATCAATCAAAATCACCTCTATTTCTATAATATGTTTTCCATTCTATCAAATGAGACCAAGAAAACGAGAATACAACCATAAATACTATACGAAAATAGATCACAAAGTCGGCATTTTAATTAAAAAAAAAGCGGTCGGAGTTTTTTTTTCTCATTATGCACTGCATGCTCCAGGATTTTTTTTATATGGTGCACACTGACCACACAGACCTATTCTCTCACATGTGGGCCTACCAGCTTTCTCCTGCTTGATTTGAAGCCGCTAGAATTTATGAGTATATATACGTCAAACACGGTACCTCGTAAGATGTATATATACGACCTCGACAGTCAAAGGGTTAAGAAATCCCTCACCATCTTTCACATGCAGAGAGAAAGGGAAATGAAGTGGGGAAAGAAAAAGGATCTCACCTAGCAAAGAAAGGTGCAAGGGAAAAATGGTTAAAAGTTATTCTAAGTGATACCAGCACTATTTTATATTCTGCACACAGTACATTCATGGGAAATTAGTAAGATCACATTACCAAAATATCCGCGATTATTCGGCTGTTACAAAAACTAAGCGTAAAATATAATCAGTGTGAAATATCGGAAACGAAATAGCAATCATTCATTCTCTCCTTCAGGTGTTTTAACTCCCCATTATAATAATGGGAAGTGCTAAACTCAGTCATACAGTACCTGAGGAGATAAGCAGGTTTTATCCAAGGGTGTTTAAACTCAGTACCGATTATTCTCATGCACTGTTATAGTCATGTCAGTAAAACACATTAATTAGCACTGGAATCATTACACATCACTGTCTAAAATCCAGTAATACTTGAATCCTTTGTGTTCTTATAAACCCTAACCCAGTCTCTCTCCTCATAAAATCTCCTAACAGTTACCAGTGTTAACAGTTTGAATGCTCAAGGGGCCCCCAATGGAAATAAGTCACTTTGTCCGACTTTTTTGGGGGTTATCCTAGGTAATTTACACTCTGTATGATAATTGTACACCTACCATCCGACTTACGACCTGCTCGACTTACGACCACTCGACTTATGACTGTGTTTTTTATGCCAAATTTCTGGGAAATAAACAACTATTTGTGTTGTACACAGTGTTTATCCTAAACCTTACAGTATAAAATACAGTACTAAGAGCATAAAAAGTAAAGTAAAACATGAAATACCAAATAAAACAATAAAATAAAGTCATTACAAAAATGTTTTGTTGATATTCAGTAGTAAAATTCGACTTAGGACCAGTTTCTCGGAACCGAACTCGGTCGTAAGTCAGATGGTAGGTGTACTTATGTGTACCTCTGCCTAAATAAACTCACTTGCCGTCATGTAAATCTACGTTATTAATGCTGGGGTCCCATGCATAGATCTACGTTTTGAGCACAGCTCCCTCGGATAAGCTCTGAGCAATAAATTTTGGCCAAGACATGAGAGAATGGGTTTATGCAGTAAGTGTGCACAGTATAAAAAAATATCCTACCCCACATGGTGCTTGGTGGGAAAAGCAAAACTCTGACTTGTGTTTGGAAATAAAGACTGTATTGGAGTACAACACACTCATATCACTCAAAAGAGTGAAAGTTTAATGTAAGAGACTTAGGAGTGATAAAGCCAGAGTATCTCACATTCTTGGATCTCAACAATGTTATTTCAGTCAGGCTGTAGTTCATATGTTGAACAGTGTGCAGCTGGCAGAAACAGCTTGGTTGATCAGGGCCTGATCTACTGCGATGCTAGTCATGGACAGGGCTGCAGGGGTGTCAACCCCGAAACACCCTTCAGCCATAAAAGACGACGTGTTAATAATGACACACTTCAAATCACTTGTTCTCTCTAGGATGGAGTATTGCTGCATACTAATGGCCCCTTTCAGGACAGGCAAAACTGGCAAGCTGAAGAATGTACAGAAAGCCTTCACTGCTCATTGCTCACATTAATTCAGGCAAGTAACTGAATTCCTTAAGTCAGTTCCTGATCAATCAGGCTGTGGTGCATATGTTGACCTGTGTGCAGTTGGCACCAACAGCTTGATCAATGAGGCCAGCAACCAGGAGACCTGGTCTGGACCGGGCTGCAATGGCAGTGATCCCTGAAACCAACTACAGGTAACACTACCTTGGTGGGATATGGCCAATCAAACCATACCCCCGGCCGGGATTGAACCCGCGGTCATAGAGTCTCAAAACTCCAGCCCGTCGCGTTAGCCACTAGACCAGCTAGCCACAATAAGATTCATCCAACTAGGTATATTTCTACACCATAGGAAGGTTAGCACAGGCACCTCTGTGACCACAAATGAACGCTAGCTGGAGATTCGTCTGTAAAAACTTGCATTTGTGGTCACAGAGGTGCTTGTG